GGAGCGATATTTGATGCAAACAAGTTCAAGGTAGAAAAATAGCTAATTCTTTTACTTTTTCTAGTGAAGCATAATTTCAGATACTCGTGTCCCATCAAAGCTGGTAGTAAGGAATATTTTGTCACATTCCCTTCTTGGATTCACTTTACTGGCCCCTGAAAACTAGAAGTGAGCTACATGTTTATTGACATATAATTTTCATGATTGAGATTCTCAAATGAAAGTAATCCCAGTCCAAATTAATGAAAAATTTAAAAATAAAGAATTTTAAGAACTACAGTTTTGTAACTTTAAGGACATACAGTAACTGTATACAGGCTAACAAAGTGTTGCTTCCTAGAAGGTTTGATTTAGAATCCTGTTATGAAATTTTAGAGTTGCAAAGGATCTTCAAATATCTATTGAACAATTTTTTTTTATAGTGGTAAAATGTATATATATATATAATTCATTGGCACTGTGTTCATCAGGTTGTACAGCTATCACCACTTCCATTTCCAAATTATTCCACCACCATTAACAAACTCAATTTCCTCCTGAGTAAAGACTGGATAGAGTAATTTTAAGAATTCCTCTAAAGGAATTCTGTAAGAAATGGTAACCCTTATTTCATTGTCGTATTTGATTGGTGTATTCTGTAGTAAAAATAGCATTTGTTAAACAATTTTAACGGTGTTCTAACCAAACTTTTGATTTAAGTAATTTTGGATTTTGAGTTACAGCAGTGAAAATCTTGGTATTTGGGTGCAAAGAAAGGCAACCTAGCCTCAAAACTTACTGACTCTTAAGCTGCTTCTTTCTAAGACAGGTGAGCTCATTCACTGAGCTAAAAAAGTTCTCTTCCTTTGAGGTATTGATTGTTTTTCTTTTATTAGTAGGTGCTACTGTTCCCAGAAGGCCTTCACTTCCTGTTAGGAGGCTTCTCACCACACACCTGTTGCCGTCGAGCCGATTCCAACTCATAGCGACCCTATAGGATAAATTAGAACAGTCCCATAGGGTTTCCAAGGAGTGGCTGGTGGATTCAAACTGCCAACCTTTTTGGTTAGCAGCCAAGCTCTTAACCACTGTGCCGCCAGGGCTTCAGAAGGCTTCTAGAATTATGAAAACATTCTGAAGACCTGTTCAAGTCAAAAGTGAACAAAGAGGGGAAACAGTATAGCCTAAACAGGAAGGAAGGAAGACTGTTTTATACCCCAGAATCAGGCTGCAGCAGGGGAGCAGTGAGAGTGAAGACTCATGACAGGATTTCCTATAAAACCAGCTTTCCCTGGTCACGTTCTTGCTGCTCTAAGACAATCTTCATGGCTCCAAAGCCCCCAGCAGATGCACAAAAATTATGTAATTTTCATCACAGTCAGTCTACAATATGGTAATTATGTTAAGTGTTTCTTAATATTTCACAAGGGAAAATAACTTCAAGAAGGAGCAAGGAAGATTTCAGTTCTTATACCACTATCTTGATAGAATTCACTGCCCTTCATTTTCTAGTCCCAGTTTAAAGGGAGATTAGGGATACCTTAAGAAAGTACCGGGGGAATAGGTAAATCTGTACCTAGTTGGGAGAGATTATCCAAGTCCATGTTTTCTGGGTCACCTCTGTTCTTTGTTGTTTAGTAGCACCTTTACCAAGTTCTAGGAAAGAGTTTAGCGAACTTGAAGTTAATTGTTAACATGAAAGGTAAAAATTTTGTGAATTCATGTAGTATCATATCCCTATTGTATGATCAACTTGCAGTTTTTTATGTATTCTAATATTTAATCAGATTTTACATATGATAACCTCTATCAACAATTAATACAGTAGATTAGTACATTTATGCCTGTGTTCAGTAAATGGTTTAATTGTTAGTAAGAATGTAAAATGTCATGCCTGAAGTTGATGTGATTGTCTTTTCCTCAGTCACCATTCTCCCAGATTTCCTTTCTGTTATTAAAACCTTTCTTTTGATCCACCAAATCAGAAATCTGACATCTTTTACTAAGCCATTTCTTTCATCCTTTTTCATCGAGTCCTGTGTGTTTTGCCTCTGAAATATTTCAAATATCCACATTTCCTTCTCTCCTATTGCTAACATGTATCACAACACATCTTAATTGGAACTACAGCAGTAGTCTTGTAACTTCCTGGTGGTCATTCTGCTACTTAACAGAGTAAAATTGAAGGCTCTTTAGTCCCGTAACACAGGACCAAGTAGCGTTTTGTTCCCTTGTGCATGGAGTCACATGAGTTGGGCCAGGGCCAACAGCAGCTAACAACTTACACATGCTTACGTAATTAAAGACAGTACTTTTGCTTCAGCAGCTTAGAGCAATAAGACATCTTTTGAAAGTGTATACCTTGGATGTATACAAATGTGGACTGCCTTGCTTTCATTTTCTTCGGTACATGCATGGTGGGGAGAATAAGTACACAGGAGGAATTGTCAGGTCATTCTAATGAAGTTTAGAATGAAAGGGAATAAATGAAAGTAAAAGAAGACATGAATATGGTGGTTGATAGACTCAATGAAGAAAGTAATAGAAGAAAGGAATGGTTGGGAGAAAAACAGGGAAGGATTAAAGCAACCTTTCTAAAATTACTATTTATTTTAATCCACTTCTATTGAGTAGTTCTTCAAATGAGATTGCAGTTTCTCTGCCTATTGTATCTTTTCTTTTTATTTCACTCGTGAAAGAAGAGAAAGGTGAGGAAGGAGTCTCAGATAGTATCTGGGGTTTGCAACCACAAGGGGACAGGAAAGGGAATAAAACTTCAGCGTCTGGGATACTAGTTTTTATGGCTACCACATATTTGGTTCATTTGAGAACTTCTCCTATGGTCTGTTGTCCATTTTTCAGGGTGCATAGCTTTAGATGTTGTTATTTAACATATATTTATGGCACCTGCTTCTTCTTGGATGTTTGTGCAGTCTCTGTTGGCAACCTCTTATCTTTTTAATTACTGCTTTGACAAAAGTGAAGATGAACTGGTACAAAGTAGTTATTTACCGTACTGGAAAAACAACTGAAAATAAGTGCTGTATAGCCGAGGAAAAGAGGCAAGCAGACTTTGGCCCTGTCAACTTATATTTGAAAAACATACAGTTTAATTAAATGCCCATTCCTTCTTGTGTATATATTTCTAGGCCTGCTCCAGAGAAGCTTGACGGCAAGGCCTATACAGTAAGTCCCTGGGTTACAAACGAAAGTCTAATTTATGGACAACTTCACTTTGCCCTTTAATGTTATGTAAATTTGCCTTCACTTTGGAACAATGGAACTAACCCCTACTCGCAGCAAATTCTTTCTTCATCACGGTCAACTTCACTTGCTGCGTGTGCAGCTTTTAAATCATTGAAAAAAAAGTAAGGCTAAATAAGAACTGTATGCACCTGTTCCGACTTACCTACAAATTCAACTTAAAGGCAGACTCAGGAATGATCTCATTCGTAACCCAGGGACTGCCTGTACTCTACTTGAAAAGATTTATAGAACAGATCTATAAGTTTTTTTTTCAGTGCATGAATTTCTCAAGTAAATAATTACACTAAGTTAATATTCTTATTTTGCAGGAAGTTGGTGAACCGTCTAAAGAAGAAAAGGCTGTAGCCAAGTATCTTCGATTTAACTGTCCAACAAAGTCTACCAATATGATGGGTCACCGGGTTGATTATTTTATTGGTAGGATTATTGATAGCAGTAAAATCATTTGTGTATATCTTGTGAAGACACCTAAATTTGGGATTTTAGAAGTTTTTATAGTACTTTCTAGTGTAATTGTTGAAGCTGAGTAATAGGCATATGGAAATTTATTATCCTCTTCTTTTAATGATTGAAAATTTCTGTAATAAAAAGATAAAAGTGCCTTCCAATAACACATATTTGTTGAAAAATTTTAAAATGGGATTTATTTCCACTGTTAATACTACCTTTGTTCAGATAGTATGTGTACTTAAAGTTAATCTTTATAAAACTGGAGTAGAATTCAGTGTGAAACTACACTTCAGTCTGTTGGAACCAACTTAGAAGCTTTGGTTCTTCACATTGTCCAGCTAACCTCATTATAAGTTGATGTCATCTATAATGGAGCCCCATAGCTTAAATGATGGTTGAATTTGCCTATTTCACCAATTAAAATTGAATTGCCATTCTGGAAAAGAAATTCCTTTATCTTCTCTTTGGTGTTATCATTGGTTTTGATATTCACTTAAAAAAAAAAAGTAGACATGCCACTCTCTTCAGATCTAATATATTTAGCTATCTCTAGTAATAGCAGTAAAGAGCCCTAGTGGCTCAATAATTAAGTGCTCAGCTCCTAACTCAAAGATTTGTAGTTTGAAGCCACCCGGTATGGCTCCTCAGGAGAAAGACATGGCAATCTGCTCCCATTTAGATTATAGCCTAGAAAATCCTAAGGGGGCAGTTCTACTCTGACATGTGGGGTCACTATTTATTTTCTGTTGCCAGAATGTCGAAATGTGCTTTATATAATTTGAATTTGATAGGCATGAATTGCCAGGTATACTAAATGTAAAATAATTTATTTTTAGCTTCAAAAGCTGTGGATTGCCTTTTGGATTCGAAGTGGGCAAAGGCCAAGAAAGGAGAGGAAGCTTTATTTACGACCCGGGAGTCTGTGGTTGACTACTGCAACAGGTGGTGTTTATTTCTTAGCAAGAATAACATAAATAGTAATTTTAAATTACATTCTGCATATTGAGGCTCCTTAACTATTTTCATCATTAAATGTAGTGATATTGCAGTATAGCTAATGCATAGCTTTTACACGTAACTTGTATTTTTTCAGTACCTCTGAAGATGTTTTTATTTTTGTGTTTGAATATTATAGTTTTTAACTGTGATTTTTATTTTTCAGTTCCATTACATTTGTACATTTGCCAGGCTGACATTTAGAATTCTCTGTAGGGTAAGCAATAAAAATCATACACCAGTGCCTACAGTGATCAAGAGTTCTTTTCTAGAGCAAATGGTTCGGGTGTCTTTTTCCCCAAACCTTTGGCAGGGATTCCTAGTAAATGTTGTTCCCGGTTTTTTAGTGCCTATTCCCTGAGCTTTAAGCCAGACACCCTTCTCTGTTTGCTTGTTTAATGATTGCTAATGCAGTACCTCCTTGTAAAATTAAGACAGCTGCACCATCTACATTGTCTTATCTTGAGGATTCCAAGGTGAAGTAGAGACAGTTCAGTAATATACCTGGTTTTCATAATAGGTACTCTTCTTAGGGAAAATCTCTGGTGAGCGGTGTGCCTAAAAGACAAAAATCACTTTCTTCTTCCTTGGAAAGAACTATGCTGATTTTTATTTATTTTTTTCCCCTTGGTTTATTTAATAATACTTAAATAATTAAATTTAATGGATATTAACTAAGTTTTGTTTTCATAATGCTGAAACTTATATTTAGTGGGAATTGAGATTTTAGGTTATCCTATGTGTTTGTTAGGGAGGTATACGTAGCATTTACTAGTACTTTGTTTAATGGCATTTAAAAGTTTAATCTCAGCCACATGAGGGAACCCTCTAAAAATCACTGTTTCACAACCTGGTTTCTTAAACTGTGAAATTAATTATCAAGTATTTCTTAAAGTTCTTAGTTGCCAAAGACTGGAAGCACAAATGGACCTTTCAGAACATAAGTTTCATTGTTGGACTAGGGATGAGCTAACAGTGGTACAGTCGATGTTTGCCTTTCCTTTATAGCAATTTGTATAATTAGAATTAACCAAAGTGCAAACTTTCTCCTCTCTGCTTGTCTCAAAGTAGATTTATATTTATGTATCCTGCAAAAATAAGAGATGCTACAAATGCAGAAATGGAGGCACAGAGAAGTTGGGTAACTTGTCCACAGCCTGTGCCCAGATCACAGAGGAAGTAAGTGGTGGAGCCAGGATTCTAAATCTAGCAGTCTGGCTTCAAAGTCCATGCTTTTAACCACTGCACTGTACTATCTCCATACGTGTCAGGTTAATCTGCTGTGTGTTCTTTCTGCATTAAAATAAAAGGGAGACGCATAACTCAGAATAGCTTCTCAGACAGCCACAGAGGCCCCATAGTAGCTAGCTCTCATGAGTTCTTGCCCTACCACAGACACAACCACAGCCATTTTCTTAAGCTGCTAAGTGAGCTCAAGGGAGTCTGAGGAAAAACAAAAGAAAGCAAGTAAGTGTAGGATGATACACAAAATAATATTTTCTAATCTGTCTAGAACCAAATGTTTATCTTTTTATAGTCTGTTTCAAGTACAAATTCTTCACCCTTATATCTTAACCATCCAAGCTCTTGTGTGTCTTCACATCATCAACCCCTAGTCCTCACTCATGCATATGCCACACCCATTCTCTCATCTGGTCTTTCTTTGATCATAGCCTGCCACTTCCCCTGAATAGTTCTCCCTCTTCTATCCTGCCTGTCTGTAAATATTACAAACACATCCCTCAAGTCCCACCTCTGCCGGGTCCTCCAGCCCACGTTAATCTTTGTATCTCAAGTTCCGCTGAATTTATCTAGTTTATTGCCTACAGTTTGACCTTTAACTATTTTAGAGTTGTTTCATTTAAGTTAATTTTTTCAGATTTATCTGAAGACTGTTGTAGGACTGTTTTGTACTTTATTGTAACCACACAATTAGTATAATGTGGGCACTTGATAGAAACTCACCATTGCCACATGGTGAAGTCCCCAACACATGTCTGGCATTCAGTAAATGTTTCTTAAATCAGTAAAAAAACAAAATTTAAGAGATGAACGAAAAGTATAGATGTAATTTAATGACTTATCAAGCTGTTTTTCAATTTATTAATTCAACAATCAAATCTAATACCTACTGTATTCTAGACACCAGGAATACAGGTTGACTGCAGCTTGGTCCCTGCCTCAAAGCTCATTCTAGTCTATTGGGGAAGGCAGATACATAACTAATTACAATGGAGTGGTATATGCTCTGTAAGGAGTCATATTATGGGAGGACATAGATGAAGAACCTGTCAAGAATAGCTTCACAAAGAAAATGTTTTAATCAATTCTTGAAACATAAATAGGCAGACAGGAGGAGACATGACATTCATGCATGGCAAAGGGCACAGAACATAGAGAGAGGGTAGTGTGAGTGGCTTTGTGAAAATGTTAGAGAGCTTTGTGTAAGTGATTTGTATCTCATGCATTTAAAGCCAGATAGGGGCTCTGATTTGATTACAAAATTAAATCATGTTGATACGACTTTTCTAGACATAGAATGAGTTGAACTAGACAGTTTCTCTAAAGACTACTCAAGGAATAAGTCAGTGGTTCTACTTGATACAGAGTGGAATGATGCTTTAATGTAATGATTCATGAAGCCAAATATGTGTGTATATTCTGTAAGTATTAATGAAATTCAGAAGATGTTGCTGTTTAACAATAATAATAATGGCTAACATATGCCAGACACATACTCTACAAACAGCCCCTATGAGCTAGATGCCATTAGTAACCCTATTTTAGAAATAAAGAAACTAAAATAACTTAACCAACATCACACAGCTAGTTAAGTGGTAGAGGTAGTATTTGACCCTTCCTGAATGTGAAAGTTAACATTGACTTTTCTTTCCTGGAGATGGGGCAGCTATGCAGGAGGGGTGACAGAAGCAAATGGTCCTGCTGGTTCTGTGCCATTCTGTATCTTTCTACTCATGAGGGAAGAGGCTTTTTCCACCTCTGAGAAGTTGTATGATTTTTTAAAATTATCTCTTTATTAAAAACATAAATAATTTTTCTACTACAGTAGATTAAACTTTGCATATGTAGAAAGTGATATAGAAAATCGTAGATAACCACATTTCCATTTGATAATATATGCTTCCAAGTATCTGTAGTTTTCTGTAGTTTCAAGTGTGCATGTAGTTTTAATATACTGGATCTATAATATGAACTGTAGTTTGAAACAGTGATATTTCAGTTAACATACAATGAACAGTAAGTATTTTTTATATACAGTATTGCGGTAGTAATAAATGTTCGGAAAATCACATGCATGCCAAAAGGGGGTACATTAAAATACAATTATTAAAATTTTTCAAAACATTCTGAAGTAGAATAAGAAAGGGAATAGCCAGTGTGAAAGCTCTTGAGGTGAGCATGTGAAATAAAATAATTGCTAAATAGAGGGAAGAAAAATGTCTTTAGAGAGAAATTAATGAAATTAGTAGTACATAATGTTTTTGTTTAGCCAGTATATTGTGAATTTTTTTATTTTTTGCTTTGTGAGTCCTTTTCAGAGTCCAGAAATTCTACTTCATGTAATTAATTGTTCATTACTCAACTGAAGATATTTTCATTATAGTAGAAGGCTGAATGGTGCAGTGCATTGAGAGAAAAAAATAGCATTAGAAAGATAGCTGAAAAGAAATGATTTGGATCAGTCAAATTATGGACACAGTTTTACGTGTTCCTTTTGTATTTGCTCTTGAATTTGAAACTTTAACAATGGAAGCTGAGTCTTGATTACTGTTAATGAGCATAGAGAGAAGGTTGACATGAATAACCCAACCGTATAGTCTCTCATGCCTAAATTATGTAAAAATGAAAATTATGTTGAGTATCACTGAGTAGACTACTTCTACATAGTTATCTATAAAGTTGCCTTTAAAAGAAGAGGAAGGAGCATCTCTAAGTAACAGAGAAAGCAAGATACATTTTCTTGCATCCTCACTTTATGGTCCTAGATGTCTGGAAGGAGAGAGCCATTCACACACTGAAGATCACCTGACTACTCTGGGTATAAGCTTTTGGAGGGCTTGGGAAAGTTTTGAGTCTCCCTTTGGTTGTGCCCAGCATACTTCAGTGAGTAGTTTGTAGGCTACTCTAGCCCTCCATTCATGTACTCAGACTTTTACTTTTTGTTCAATCTTGTATTTTTTACCTACTGCAAACCTGGTACCATCTTAGAGTATTCTCTTAAAATACTATTCCCTTGGCTTTAATAATACTGTTGTCTTCTAATTTAATAATACCACTATTTCTAATAACTAATTCTCTAGTTATACTTCAGTATTATTGTATCATAAATTCACTATGTTGTCATCTCCTGCCTTCTTTCCTCCCTTCTTTGCAGTCTTTGTCTTTCAAAACCTAGCTGAGATTCTGCTTCTCTAGGAATCCTTTCATGACTGCCTCTACCCATTCTCCCAAACCTTGAGGTCACTATGTAGCTGAAGGACAGTGGAGCACAGGTCTTGAGGATGCTATGATGATGAAATGTTTCCTTTTCTGCTTCTGAAGGAAGCAGAAGGGAAGGATGAGGGAAGTGCTACTAGCTTTGAAATCTGGGTAGTGAGGAACTTGATCTCTTCTCCATCCCGTTTGATGAAACTAAGTTTCAGGGATGATCAGGAAAGAATCTAGTAGTATACTTTATTCTTATTGGTATGGACAAAAGTCCCATTCTGGATAAACCAAAAACCAAACCTGTTGCTGTCGAGTCGATTCCAACTCATAGTGACCTTATAGGACAGAGTAGAATTGCCCCATAGGGTTTCCAAAGAGCGCGTGGCAGATTCGACCTGGCAACATTAGGTTAGCAGCCGTAGCTCTTAACCACTACGCCACCCGGGTTTCCGCATTTTGTATAGGTAAAGTGAAATCGTGTTTCAATAGAAATTGGAAATAATACATTTAAAATGTTTCTTAAAGTTGCAGGTTATTATAAATATAGGTAAATAAGTTGATGGGTACTAGATTTTATAGTAGATTATGATCCATAGGCATAAATTCCAGAAGTTCTAATTCTTCTATTTAAAAAAGAAATAAAACCATTAGGCAGATTGTTTTGACTGCAGAAAAAAGAACCTGTATACTGTTACCCTAACATAGTCCCAATACTGATCTGTTAGCGTACAATCATTCTTAGAAGTTCCTTTCCATCTTTTCTTAGACATCTTTTTAATATAATTAGAATTATTAGCGTTCCTGTAAATTCATGTCCTTTTTTGTCTTAGTGTATGTTTTCAATAACCGTATTTTGAATTTTCCTTCTAATTCAAAAAAAATAGTTACTTGAAGTGTAAACATTCTTAATCCTTATGCATATGTCCACTTCCATAGGGAAGTGACAGTTTATGTTGATAGCAGCAAATGTATAGAAGAGTCAGTTTCATGCTAACCTGATTAGTATTAGGAGTGTGTGTGTGTTTTCAGGAAAAAAAAAATTGTCTTATTTAGAAGTTTTGTTTTGTTTTTAAGTAGTAGTAAGGTTGAATATTTGTCCATGGACTTAATGTCAGTAATTTCTCTTGTGAGTTGCCAATTTGTCTTCCTTTGCTCATTTTATTGGTGTTTTCACATTTTTCTTAGTCTGTATCTATAAAATTGATAGGGAATATAATGTCATTTATCTTTTGTTTCCAAGGCTGTTAAAGAAGCAGTTCTTCCATCGAGCACTAAAAGTGATGAAAATGAAATACGATAAAGACATAAAGAAAGAAAAAGAGAAAGGAAAAGCCGAAAGTGGAAAAGAAGAAGATAAAAAAAGCAAGAAAGAAAATACAAAGGAAGAAAAGATGAAGAAGGAAAAAGAGAAAAAGAAAGATGGTGAAAAAGAAGAATCCAAAAAGGTGGGCTCAACTAAAATTAAGTAAAAATCAAAAATCATTACTTATAAATGATTATTATAAATGATTATTATAAAAACCATAGTTGAGAATTATTATTTCTGTGTCACATATTGTTAGTAAGACCTTTTTGACTATATGCATGTCATTGGTTTTTCTTGTTTGTTTTTCCTTTGCATAAAATAATGTTTGTTTTCATAGGAGGAAGCTCCAGGAACTCCCAAAAAGAAGGAAACTAAGAAAAAATTCAAGCTTGAACCACACGATGATCAAGTGTTTCTGGATGGAAATGAGGTGAGAGTATATAGACTATAACTAGAAATTCAGATTTCAGCAGGAGGTTTAAGGATTCTGTTCTCTTGTTTCACTAAGAACAGAAATAATTTATGTAAATCTAATCATGCACTTAAGTGTATAAAAGCTACTCTACCTTTTTCTCTTTTGTATATTTATGTAATTGTACTTTAGATGAAGGTTTACAGAACAAACTAAAAGCTGCTCTACTTTTAAAAACCAATATTTTATCTGAATTTAGATTTTTAAAAATAAGAGTCTACATCAGTGAGAATTAGGTTCAGCTGTGAGTGATAGGAAACCTGAAATAACAGTGACTTAAACAAAATAGGTACCTGTTTCTCTCATGTCAGTGGATTCTAGAGGTAAGTAGTACAGGTATAGCAGCTCTGTGGTGTCAGGGGACTGGGGCTGCTATTATCTTTTTCCTCTTTGTGAGGCTTCTAGCAGAGGTTACCCCATGGTCCAAAATGACTGCCAGCCTTATATCTGCATCCAAAGGAGAGAGGGAGAATATAGGACATACCTCTTTAAGGACACTTTCCAGAGGGTTGACAATTTCATTTTTGCCTGGATTCCATTAGAATCTAGTCATGTAGTCATGCCTACCTGCAGTGAAGTCTTGTAAATGGTACTTTATAAACTGGGTGGTCATGTGCCCAGGTAAAATGTAAGATTTCCATTACTATCCGAGAAAGAAGGGCAGAATGGTTGATGGGTCACCAGCCAGTCTCTGCCACTTAAGAAAGAGGTTAGAAGTGACTCCTATAGAGGATCTAAAATAGAACTAAGCTTCACTTTCTAATGTGACCTGAGAACGTTTAAGCAGTAAGGCTTCTTGATTCTTTTAGGTGTTTGTGTGGATCTATGACCCAGTACACTTCAAGACATTTGTCATGGGATTAATTCTTGGTAAGTAACAGAATGTGGGTATCTTTTAAATACAATCTCGGAAATTTAGAGAGGAAAATAAAAACTCAGAAGTCATAAAGAAATATAGTGACTAATAATCAAATGATACTTAATCTCACTGACACTAAATATAAGTCAAAACAACAGTGATTAAGAGGATTACAAAATTTGATAGTTATCAGTCTTAGAGAAGATCTTGGGAAAAATCAAGACTAACAATTGATGGATTGCTAGATGATGTGGATAACACATCCGTTGTTTGTTTTTATGGAGGGCAGTTTGAAAATTTATTTCAAATACCAAATACACCTACTGCTTACTTACCAACTATCTCATTATCTGACATTTAGCATTTACTACGATAGTAAAAAATCTATTATCCAGCTGTTTTGTGCATTAATGAGGCAGTGGGCATGGCAGCAATGGCGCTGAGTGTCCACTCCCTCAAGGAGGGTCTCCAGGTGGCCTCCTGAAAGCTGGGTTGCCCTCCGCTCCCTCATGCATCCAGCTGCTGAGTAGGACCTTCCTCCTCCCGTGGCCCAGGTCTCTGGGCAGACGCACAGGCAGCACTGAGCCAGCAGGTACCTGTTCTGAGTTTCCACCTCCTATGCAGCCTGAGGCTCTGCAGCTCACAATTGCTGTGAGGTGAGAAGGGAGGAAGGAAGGAGGCATTGGAGAGGGTGTTGGAAAGAAATGCATGCTTGTGAGAGTTAAATGACATTCCAGAGTGAGCCAAACTGAGCCTGATGCCTCCACCTCGGTGGGGATGGGTGTTCTACCAGGCTCCCAGTGCCCTGCCGTCACAGGAAGCCCTGAGCCTTGGTGACTCACCATGCCTGGAGGGCAGGGGATAGGAGTGGAGCCCTGGAGGTGGCTTCGCAAGGGAATCTCTGACCCAGCACCGGAGGTGGTGAAGTGGTTAAGCTATATGCACAGCCAGGCTTTATCCAGCTTTGTCTCCTCCAAGCGTCTTCGGCAGAGGCATAATCCAGTAACTGGACTCATCACAGTGATGAGCACATCAGTAAATCTTAGATGTTATTGTTTCTGTGACCATATTTTCTAAATAAAGTCGGACAAATGGATGGTCTGAAAACAAACAAAACCCTCCATTTTCGCATAACGCTGATTTTTGCATAACGATCTAGTCTTTGGAACCTAACCACGTAAGTGAGGAGTGGGTGTGCTTGTGTGCGCGCGCGCACTCTTTGACCCAGCATTTCTACTTCTAGAAATTGAGCCCGTTGTTATACAGATACAGAAAGTATCTATTCAAGAGTGTGCGTTGACATATTGGAAAAATACAAATCCCTCAGTAGAATATATATCAGGAAAGTAATTTAGCAAATAATCTTTAAAATTTTAAATGCCTGTACCTTTGGCCTGGAGTCCGTGGGTGGTACAAATGATTAAGAGCTCTACTACTAGCTGAAAGGTTGGCAGTTTGAATCTACCCAGAGGCACCTCAGAAGACAGGCATTTCAGTGTGCCTCCAAAAGGTCACAGTTTTGAAAACCCTGTGGAACATAGTTCTACGCTGACACATACGGGTTTGCCACAAGTCAGAATCAACTCGGCAACTAACAACAACATACCTTTGGCCTAACAATTCCATTGCAAGGAATTTTCTCATGCTGTACTCACATAGTTGCACAAATGGTCTTATTTGTTGCAAGTCGCAGGGGGTGTTTGTTGTAGTATTGTCTGTAAAAGGATAAACTAGATTTTTCTTTCTTCAAGTGTTTCTAGGATGTAACTAGAAACACTTGAAGGCCCTCAATAGAATGATGAAAATAAATGATAGTACAATTGTACGAGGAGCCCTGGTGGCGCAGCGGTCAAGAGCTTGGCTGCCAACGAAAAGGTTGGCAGTTCGAATCCACCAGCCGCTCCTTGGAAACACTCTGGGGCAGTTCTGCTCTGTCCTTTAGGGTCACTATGAGTCAGAATCAAGTTGACGGCATATAACAACAGTTGTACAGTGGAATACCACATATCTTTTGAAGAAGTAGGTAATAGAGTTAAAACTATTTGTAGCTTAATTATACCCCTCCCAAATAGCTAATACTTATCCATCACTTACTATGTATTAATCCCTTTGCTAAATATTTTACACGTGTTGTTTCATCTCATCCTCACAACAGCTTTTTATTATTAGGTAACTTAGCCTCAAAGGGGTTAAGTAACTTGCCCAGGTAACTCAGCTTATAATTTGAATCCTGGTCTCACTTAACTCCAAAAACCTAATAACCGTGCTTCTAATTTCTGTGTATTTATTCTCTTTACATGAGTTATTGGTAATAATTATTCTTCCATGTGGCCCCACCTTGATTTAAAAAAAAACAAAACCTGGAGGTACTTGTATATGGTTTCCCTGACTCATTATCAAACGGCCGTCTGTGTCAGCATCACCCGGTGAGCTTTTTAAGTCAAGCTCCCCCTCAAAATCTCCAGGGGAGGGGCCCTTGGAATCTTTTTGTGGGGGAGGGGCCTAGGTTTATTTCTGTAACCTCCCCCCGCCAAGTAATTGAGATATACAGCCCAAACCTTTTAACAAGTTTGATCAGCTCTTACTTATTTTCTCAGGAGGCTGCTGACGACAACGGCTAGATTTATTAATTATATGTGAGGCTTTCTAGTTGTAATTCCTTCATTCTGTGCACAGAAATGAGCTCAGTCTCTTCTAATTTCAAAGATGTATAGTTAATTCTTCAAACAGTAGAAGAATCTTAAGATACAAGACAATCTTTAATCAAAAATATTATTTAAAACTGCTCTTTGAAATCTAAGTTGTTTGTAATCTGTCGATCTAATATTTTGGTTTTGTTCCTTTAAAAAGTAATTTGTACAACTTGTCCTTTGCAGTTTGGCTTTTGTATTAGGTCATGAACTGAGTCCTAGAGTGATTTTTAGCAGACTAATATAGAAAAAGCATAATTTTGAAATGAAAGGAAGTCCCCTGGATCCTGTGTTGTTTCACTCTTTTAAGTAATTCAGTAGACAGATGTCTTACTATTCAAAACATAAGGTGGACATTGCATGAAAACAGCTGTAGTTGATAATTTAAGGAGATAGTTTAGCACAGTTAAGGAGTAATTTATACTACAAAAATCCTAACCTAATTTAAGAGCAATGTTGTTATTGTTGGGTGCCGTGAAGTCAGTTCTGGCTCATAGTGACCTTATGTGCAACAGAACAAAACTCTATCCAGTCCTGTGTCATCCTCACAGTCATTGCTATGTTTGAGCCCATTGTTGCAGCCAGTATCAGTCCATCTCTTTGAGGGTCTTCCTCTTTTTCACTGACCCTCTGCTTTACCAAGCATGTTGTGCTTCTCTAGGGACTGGTCCTTCTTGATAGCATGTCCAAAGTATGTGAGACAAAGTCTTGCCATCCTCGCTTCTAAGGCGCATTCTGGCTGTACTTCTTCCAAGACAGATTTGTTTGTTCTTCTGGTAGTCAATGGTGTATTCAGTATTCTTCACCAACACAATGTTTCAAAGACATCAGTTTCTTCTTTAGTCTTCCTTATTCATTGTCCAGCTTTCACATGCATATGAGGTGATTGAAAATACCATGGCTTGGATCAGGCACACCTGCACATTAGTTTGAACTATATGAGATTGCTAATAATTGACCTTTTTTTTTCCGTATGAAAGTGACTATGTTTCAAGCTCATATTTCAAAGTTTTTCCCCTAGGAACATGTATTGGTATTGCAGTTATGTAACTGTAACTTTGTCATTTGTTGTTCCAGTGATTGCAGTGATAGCAGCAACTCTCTTCCCTCTTTGGCCCGCAGAAATGAGAGTGGGTGTTTATTACCTCAGTGTGGGCGCAGGCTGTTTTGTAGCCAGCATTCTTCTTCTTGCTGTTGGTAAGTGTTGTTATTAGTAAAATTGACCTCAGTGAGGTGGGTCTTGAGCAGTTTGGACTCTCTAAATTCAAATTGTAATACTAATCTGGAGCTTCAGTAAAGCTTTATAGCAAAATTGTAGGCCAATCAAGAAGTTACACTAAGTATATGGACTTTTTGTTCAAATCCCCAAAAAATGACCCACACTTAAGGAGTGAGTATATGTGCTTGATTAGCTGTGATCTAATCTGAAGAAAAAGGATTTAATCTTAATCTAATGCACATAGATGTGTTTTAATTTAACTGTGGTGAAGACTTAAAAATATTGGCTGTGTTGCTTTTATAGAAGTCGTCATTAGTAAAACTTCCTTACATTTTGGCTTAAGAAGGCAAATGAAACGAGTTCTGGAGCAGTTAAGAAGTTGATCGGTTCATAAACATCAAACAACAAAACTTAAGTGAAGTTTTTCACGTTTCAGGATGATTGAGTTCTTTCATAACCAAAAGGTTGATAGATTTGATCACATAAGAATAAAAAACAAAATTAAAAAGTGAGCATCAAACTGACAGCACAGGCTAAAGATTAATACACTCATTTACTCATACTCATTGATAAGAGAAACTATAGGTCCCTAAGGTTGAATTGCAAAGGGCATGAAGACCCAAATCAGAAGAAGAAATAAAAATCAAATGACTAATAAATATATGAAGAATGCTCATCACTGCTAATCAGTAAAATTAAAATAATGAGGTGAGGTATTTTTCAATTTAAAATATATTTGCGTTTTCTGTTTCAACCACCAGATTCTAATGTAATGTACAGATATCTTTCAAAGTATTTGTATTCTCTCGTGAAAATAAAAATAGCTACTTTGTAAAAAAATCAAGGCAGTTACAGCCATTTCCTTTGAAATTTACCCAAGGGAAGATGATGGAAGAAATACAGATGAGCTTTTTTCAGTCTATATATAAACAGTGATATAATTGTCTTTAAAAACAAAATAAAAGCTGTAACATTCACATAATCACTCTGATCTTAAAAGGAAAAGTGCTTGCCTCTACACAACTAGCAAATTAAGAGAAAACTAAATTGAATTATGTGGTAACCCATTACTACAAACTTAATTTCAGCCTACTTAATTCCTCCATTATCTCACAGTTTTGTCATAATATATTGTTCAAAAAGAGTAACCTCGTAAACCTTATGGGTTTAAGGGATTTGGCTTTCATTAGCATTGTATTGTTTCCTAACATTGGGTGAGAGTTGGTCCTTAAATAAGCATATATTACAATTACCATATTAACAAAATTATCACTTTAGGAAATGTTCTCTTATTGTTCAGAAGTAGTTTTACTTAGAAGATAAAGTACTGTAAGATGGAAACTCACCAACACCGGCATCCTTTGTCTTAGCACCGACTTCTCCTTTAGGCACAGTGCTTCAGGCTCACAGTACTTTCAGGGACCCGTTGAAATGGTTTTATTTCTTTTAAAATCAGAAGAAAAAAATTACTATACTATTAATGTATACATAATAATGAACCTGGATTATATTTGACTTTATACCAATGCATTAAAGGTACAATTTTTAATTTTTTTTAGTGGAGGGAAGGGGCTGCCATAGGCAAAATTGCATAGGACCTAGGAACGTCATAATGCAGTCCTGCCTTTTAAGGGCTTATTTCTTAAGTTGTCCTTTATCCATTACTCACATATATTTTCTTTTTCTATATCAAGGTTTCATGAATATTTTCTTCCAGCTGACTGCTACGTTTTTTTAAGGATAACATAGCAAAGTACATAAGTGTATATCCATGGAAGAAGTTTACTAGTATAGTATATAAAGGTAATTTTTTGAGAGTAGCATGGCATTGTGTCCTCAAGTTCAGAGCAAGATGCTCTTTTCCTAGAATACTGTGATCCCTTTTATAAAACTAGTTAGGATTTAAATGTTCATATTTAAGATGCATGTAACATGCAAATAATAAACTAAATGTCTTCTCAGTTTTTTTCCCCAATTAACAGTTATTCCCTATCTGGGTCAGTGTTTGAATCATTCAATTAGAGAAACTTTTCTCCCCACAGCTCGTTGCATTCTGTTTCTCATCATTTGGCTGATAACTGGAGGAAGGCATCACTTTTGGTTCTTGCCAAATCTTACTGCTGACGTGGGCTTCATTGACTCCTTCAGGCCTCTGTACACACATGAATACAAAGGACCAAAAGCAGACTTAAAGAAAGATGAGAAATCTGAAGCCAAAAAGCACCAAAAGTCCGACAGTGAGGAGAAATCAGACAGTGAGAAAAAGGAAGATGAGGAGGGAAAAGTAGGACCAGGAAATAACGGGACAGAAGGTTCAGGTGCAGAACGACATTCAGACACAGACAGTGACAGGAGGGAAGATGACCGATCCCAACACAGTAGTGGAAACGGGAATGATTTTGAAATGATCACAAAAGAGGAACTGGAACAGCAAACAGATGGTGATTGTGACGAGGAGGAGGAAGAGGAAGACAATGATGGAGAAACAACTAAACCTTCAAGTGAAAAATCATAAACTTAATATAATTTTGGGACTGAATAAGTGCAAGAAGTTGGATTTTCTGTGTTGGCCGATCATCAGAATATACATGTGGTATTTGTAGCATCCTTTAAATCCATTTGCTGAAATGAATTTGACATCCACACAGTTCTATTTAGTCCTTCGTGTTACAGATTACTATCACTGGTACAGTCTAAAGCCATTAAAACAAGTTTTATCCATTTGATGATAATTTTACAGTAACCAGGTCTCATTCCTTTTGATAGTTACCAGTGATGCAGTTTCCATGATGACATTTAGATTAATGGTATTTTTGATAGTTGTATGGCTTTTTACTGTTAGACTAATCAGAATAACTTTAAAAAGGATAAAAGAAAGACCAGCATTGCAGATTATGTTTAGTTACGTAGCCATTTCACTGTTTTCTTTAAGATGAAATATTTAAACTCATTGTTCTCTTGATAATTAAACTTTTGTTTTTAATTTTATAAAAGTAACCAGGAAATTTCTTTTAAGATTCTGAGTTAGCAGAGTTCAAAAGCATTTTGTGGAAACATGCCAACTAGTAATAATGCAACAACAGTTTTAGTTTAGCTACAAATTCTCCTTTTCCAGCTTAGGAAATCCAAACTCATTTGTACATCTGATTCAGAGAAAGATGGTCATCTCCAACAGAGTGTGTGGTGGCTGTTTCCCTCCGTCCCCATTTCCTTGTCATAACATAAAATGTATTCTGTACATAATTTACAAATATTTTATTTTAATTGTTACTTATTATTTAGACATTTTCTCAACACTTAAAAATTTGTAAAATTAAAACTATGTAAGGGTATGTTTTTAGAGAAATGCGAGTTTCGATAACCCACAGAACATCAGTAATCAGTCTTTCTACAGCAGCTTCAGTTGTGTGCCAACATTCCATGTATTTCAATGAATAAAAACTGATCCTTATTAAATAAGAGCAGAGTTAAAGTAGCTGTTTGATGCCTTAATGTTCATTTTGATTTATTTTAAATCTCTACATTAAGAAATGGAGTACTGTATTATCAGACCAGGAGGCACTGCTGTGAAAGATAATTTACTGTTCTAAAATATCAATTTAAAATAAAGGACGTAAGAGAACCATTGGACTCTAATTGCTTTGACTAGTTTTGCAGTTCAATTTTATGTCTTGTATACCTTAGTTACAAGTTTTTGTTTTTTTTTTTTTGAAAAATCTTGTGTTTACTTATGAACATGTTAAGATCATTCCTTGGAGTTATATTCTTATGAACTGATACAATGAATATAAAATTATTTTCTTCCTTCAGTCACAGTGAGGGTATTTTGCTTTGTAGTTGAAATTGGTGGTGTGTGTAGGCTTTTATTTTTCTTTAGGCTGTTTCCCATCAAAGTGTTTTGACTAAAGATGTTAAATTTTTCTAATTGTGAAAAAATACATTTTCTGTAAATTAACACATTTTATTAAATGTGGTATAATTGCTTCTTTATAGTATTACTTGTAAGTGGACAGAAATGTAGCTATTCAATGTTAATGCAATTCTATCAAGGATATAATCAGATACAATCAGTCATTTTAAGAGTTTTTCCCTTGGCAAATGTTTATTAAGTGACTGGGTATTTTCCCCTCACATTTACAGAGCTCTGTTGCTGATTTCCACAGTAAAGGCATGTATGGTTATAGCTTGTGAGCCTAATCACCAGTAACAATAGCTCTTTTGGGGTATGAAAATGGTACCAGAAGTGTTTTTCATAAATAAATGGCTTGGTAAACCTTTGCTACTATGATAAATCAAGATATTCAGTATTTATCCTAAAGCTCTTATAATGTATGTACTGTGTTTCAGTCGTTTGGAGCATGGCAGTCAGGGTAATCAGCTTCTTATTGATGTTTGTAGATTCTTACAGAATGTTAGTATAAATTTGTATAAATATTTGGTGATTCCTGAGGGAGGAAATCAGAGATCTCAGCTCAGTGTCTGTTTTACTATTCAAGGTTGTGTACTTTAAACAAATACATAAAAATCAAAAGGCTGCCACTATCACAGCCTTCAGAAGAATAGGCAGCTGTTTTTGTTGGCTGACATTAAATATTCTTGTGCTAGCGCAGAATTGCTTAGATTAGTTAATGGAATAGTGATTTGAAAAAACTTTAGGTTTGCTATGCTACTGTAAGTAGAAGCATGAAGCTTTGGATAATGTAGGGTTTATTGTGGAGTGAGTATAAATGGCCTAACTAAGCAAGACTGGATTAACCAGAGGCTGAGTCCAGTTAGTAAGACTAATGCATGTGTGATGGTTCTTAAAATCAATGTATTAAACAGGATGTCTTTCGTTTTCTTTTCCCCTGGATTTTTACTTTTAATTTTCAAACTCTGAGTCTTTTCTAGACAACTTTAATTGAAAATAACCCATATTTAGAAGAATGCTATTCAGAAAGTAATACTAACAAACTGAAATTATGTAGTGCTGATGGGTTTTGGTGTGTTCCCCCTCTTTCTAGTTAACTGGTGACTATGGAAGAATCTATTTTCTTTGTAAACTGAATTTCCCTTTTTTGAATCTTACTACTGCTAGGAACTGGAAAACAGCAAGTATTTTACTATATTATAAAGCTCTCATATATATCTACCTTATCTACAGAATGGAATTGATTACTGATGATCCAATATTTGAGTAACATTTTAAATACCCAGTCTCTCTGAAAGTTTTCAGTTCCTAATTGTGTATACTAGATAATTTGCTTTTAATCTTCATTTCAGCAATATTTCATCTCTTTGTTGGCTCATTCATTCCTGCTTATTCACTCATTCCATATTACTGAGCACTTACCATGTGCCAGAATTTTACTAGGCACAGCCATGAATTAAAAAATAGTTTGCCTTCTTGGAGCATCAAGTGGTGCTATGGTAGGCATTTGCCAAATGTGGTGGATGTCTCTCATTTACCCTTCCAGATCCAGTCTCCAGATCACTCTCTGTCCCACAAGGCTGACCTGAATGGACCACAGCAATGGGCTCCTAGGCCTCCTGGCTTCTAGGTCAGTTTGACCAAGGAGTGTCCTGGCTAAAGATCTGAGGACCCTCAGGGTGTTTATGCTCTTGGCTGCCCTCAGTAGTCACCATGTCTCCCAAACTGCCCTTCACCACTCTTCTTAAAGTTACCACTTTCTGCTCTCTTCCCTTCTGGCCGAGGCTGATGTCCACTCAACTATTAGGCTTGAGTTGCTGAAGCTACTGTGCTTTCCTCTGTGGCTCCCCTACACACACACCTTTGTATACTATCTCCTCAAAATATCTTAAGACCACTTGTTGTTAGAACCTAGACTGATAAACTAAGGAGAAATTCCTAGTGAGGAGCTTACCTCTTGAACAGGTCCTTGTTACCAAACATTAGAAAGTATTTCCCAACCTTCTGTAACTTTCAGTTATAGCCTGTCCTAAGAGTTTTGATAACCAGAATATCTTGTTCTAATAGATGTGTATGCTGATAATTACAAAAGGAGATTAAATTGTTCTTTGGTAAGCCCCTAAACCAGTGTCCACAGCATTTTGTTGTGAGTTTCTGAGTAGATCCAAATGCATTTACTCCACTTTTCCCACCTAGCTTCTATGTCTTTTCCATCTGGATGAAATTTTCACCCTAAGAGGACATCTTTTCTCTGGTTGTAGTGTTAGGGTTGTCCAAAAGCCTTATGATCTGAACTCTTAGCAAGACACTAGAATGAAAGGACAGGGTGGGCTAAGTTTCTCTGGGGTGACATCATCAAACTTGGTCCATTACCTCATTTTACATGAATGCCTAGATCATTTCAACTTCTTTGTGCCATGGACCCCTCAGATTGAATTCAAGTGCAGAAAATACATGAGATTACAAAGGAAGCCAATTATATTGAAGTACAAGTTATCAAAATATGTACATTTGTGATACAGTAATATATGTGTGCATTACATAACCAGGTCCAGTGGGGGGGGGGGCTAATAATTGCTGTGACATTGAAGTAGCATAAACAATATTTTGACATCTTTACAACAACTGTAATATAAGGAAAATAGCTGATCAATTGTTGACAAAGTCACAGTTATTGCTTACACAACTGTGGATTGTCTGCATTTATAATTGAAGGAAATACTTTCAGTTATTGTCTAGTGAAAATAAAGATTTTTTTTTTCCCACCCAAGTTCATGTGTCCTCTGAATTTTATCCTTGAAATCCCTTAGAGGAAAATGTTCAGCATCCTACTTTGGTGAGTGGCGTCTGGGGTCTTAAAAGCTTGCAAGTAGCCATCTAACATACATCAGTTGGTCCCAACCGCCTGGAGTAAAGGAGAATGAAGAAC